AACTACAAGGGTCTGAGGTAGACGATGTTACGCTTTGTTTGGACAACAAATATTTAACACGCTTACCAATCCATAAAATATGCAGACCCTTCTACTTATCCAATTAAAACCTATAATATAGAAATAAAAAACAAGAATGCAAGAGACAGGAAAAAGGATCTGATTAAGAAGTTTAAAAAAGCGACTAGAAATATCATTGTGATCATCTGAAACTCTGTTGAGACTTTTGATGAGACAGTCAAAGATTGAGCAGATTTCATAGTAGTCCCAACCAATAAGCCAAGGATTGGGCAGATTTCATACTAGTCCCAGCCAATAAGCCAAGGATTGGGAAGATTTCATACTAGTCCCAGCCAATAAGCCAAGGAGTGTGTATGCCAGGAGACAAGAATCTATTTTAAAAAAGTCAAACTGTGGACAGAGCAGCGTCCCCCAAATGGTGGTCCGTGGAGGGGTACCGGCAGCGAGTCCTATATTGTCAGAGGGCATGACAAGAATGTTTATGGTCAAATAAAAAGTATATGTAGTTAATAAATCTGGCACCGGGTCTAGGGTGCAGTGTCAAAACTTGTCCATCAAACGTTAAAGTTTGGGAACCGCTACTCTAGAGCACACCACTAGGGCTCTGTAGATCACACCACTAGGGCTCTGTAGATCACACCACTAGGGCTCTGTAGATCACACCACTAGGGCTCTGTAGATCACACCACTAGGGCTCTGTAGATCACACCACCAGGGCTCTGTACATCACACCACTAGAGCTCTGTAGACAACACCACTAGGGCTCTCTGGAGTACATCACTAGAGCACTCTTGAGTACTTTAAAGTTTGGTGGATAGGTTTCCCATAGCGCCAGGGACTGGTGCCAGATTGATTAATTATTTGCATCTTTTATTTGTCCCTATATGTGTCATGAAATATTTGTAATCCGTAATCAGCCAATATGTCATAAAATATTTGTAATCCCTGATCAGTGAATGTGTCATACAATATTTGTAATCCAAAGAGGTCTCTAATAACTCTTACCATTTAATCCCAGCGATTATATGTTGTCCTTTTTACACCTGTTAATCTTTAATTTATTACCTCATGTTGTTCAAACAGGCAAAATAAGGCTCACAGACCATCACTTTGGGAAGCACTGCTCTAGAGCACACCACTAAAGCACACCACTAGAGTTCACCACTAGAATGCACCACTAGAGGGCATCACTAAAGCACACCACTAGAGTTCACCACTAGAATGCACCACTAGAGGGCATCACTAAAGCACACCAATAGGGGGGCACCAGATATCAATCACGTTCACCTCACAAAAAAAACCAAAAAACAAAGACTTAAATCTAAGATACAAGTTATTACAAAAAAAGACAGGTGTATATCAGGTGATGGTCCAGTTAGCGGAGTCCATGTCTAAATATTGTGACAGCATCACCAGGTGATGGTCCAGTTAGTGGAGTCCATGTCCAAATATTGTGACAGCATCACCTGGTGATGGTCCAGTTAGTGGAGTCCATGTCCAAATATTGTGACAGCATCACCAGGTGATGGTCCAGTTAGCGGAGTCCATGTCTAAATATTGTGACAGCATCACCAGGTGATGGTCCAGTTAGTGGAGTCCATGTCCAAATATTGTGACAGCATCACCAGGTGATGGTCCAGTTAGCAGAGTCCATGTCCAAATATTGTAAGGTCAGTGAGGCCGGTCAGTTTGATTAATTTGAGATGGGAGCCAATAATTTTATTTCCTAAATTTGTTATAAAAATATTCTAAGACCTGGCTGTGAACACAGCCACAAACATTTGAGAACCCCTTCAGTAAACACACAGGCACAAAGTAATTTACAAGAAGAAAATCCATATCAGTGATCAGTCATGGCCAGTGTTGCATCTCTGTGTGCACATACAAATAGACTCCATGGAAATGACAGACCAACGGCAAACATCATCCATTAATATAAAGACATACAGTTGACCGTAGCATAACCATACAGAAAAAGTCAACAACATATTGCACTTGAATGACTTAAGAATAGGAAAACATAAAGTAGGGTCAGTAAGGGGGGGTGGGGGGGTGGGTCAGTAAGGGGTCATTCATAAAGGATGTCTGCAAAGAGGGGAGTTTGTTCAAACGAAGTGCTGACAGGGGGGGTGGGGGCGGGTGCATATTTTTTGAGGACGTCCTTTATGAACAATACCACCTGCAGCTGTCACTGACACTACCTGACAGCATCATTAGAACCATCTGGCAGAGTCAGTGACATCAACTGATAGTGACAGTAGCACCATCTGACATCAGTAGCACCACCTGACATCATCTGTAGCACCGCCTGACAACATCATTCGCACCATCGGCAAAGACTTATCTCTCATGTCTCAGAGGACATCAGTCACACGGCTGAAATATGGCAATAATCTTTTGGTAATTGGAAAGAAATTCATCAAATACAGAGCGCATCGAGCCATTGGCTCCATACAGGAAGTAATGTCTGAATTAGTGACTCATTGGATCACGTGACACTGGACAACTTTGATATCCCAAGCCCACTTTTCATAGCCATCGTGGACTGTTATACATGCATTAACATTAACTTTACGACACAACAAAAATGAATCTAAGTTCTTTCATCCTGTTTCCTTTCATTAATCATCTTATACATTCATATTACCCTTCATTAATCATCTTATACATTCATATTACCCTTCATTAATCATCTTATACAGTCATAGTACCCTTCATTAATCATCTTATACAATCATAGTAGCCTTCTTTAATCATCTTAGACAATCATAGTACCCTTCATTAATCATCTTATACAATCATAGTACCCTTCATTAATCATTTTATACAATAATAGTACCCTTCATTAATCATCATATACAATCATAGTACACTTCATTAATCATGCTAAAAAATCTTAACGGCCTTCATTAATCATCTTATACAATTTTAGTACCCTTCATTGATCATCTTATACAATCATAGTACCCTTCATTAATCATCTTATACAATCATAGTACCCTTCATTAATCATCTTATACAATCATAGTACCCTTCATTAATCATCTTACACAATCATAATACATTAATCATTGTTATACAATTATAGTACCCTTCATTAATCATGTTATACAACCATAGTACGCCTCATTTAACATGCTAAACAATCAAAGTAGGCTTCATTAATCATGGTACACAATCTTAGTAACCTTCTATCCAGGTATATAACTCAATCTTAGTAACCTTCTATCCCGGTATATAACTCAATCTTAGTAACCTTCTATCCAGGTATATAACTCAATCTTAGTAACCTTCTATCCAGGTATATCACTCAATCTTAGTAACCTTCTATCCAGGTATATAACTCAATCTTAGTAACCTTCTATCCAGGTATATAACTCAATCTTAGTAACCTTCTATCCAGGTATATAACTCAATCTTAGTAGCCTTCTTTTATCCAGGTATATAACTCTATCACTACGGCACTATCACACAGGTATAAAACAAGGTCCCCTATAACCCAAGTATAAAATTGTCCCCCATAACCCAGGTATAAAAAAAGTCCCCATAATAAACCAGGTAAAAACCAGGTGCCTCTATGATTAAAGTCAAAAGGAAATCCAGGTGTGCATAATAAAACAGTGTAAAAATAATTACTTTGATTCATTACATCTGTAACCCCCAGGTGAAACACATTATTTACATTTAGTAAAACTCTGATTCCATTTTGAATAAACTTTGTTAAATACAACAGCAACTAACAAGAATAAACATCGCAAACTTGCGTCAGAAAAAGAGCTGTACCCAATCTCCTCCTAAGACATGATGATAAAAATAGGGGAGGGGGGGGGTCCTTTTGTTCCAACAGGTGAGCAAGTCTCAAAAAATACAGCCAAGCACCACCCTTATCACACATGGAGCACTTGATAGAACCTATCACAATACAATAAAATACTTTGAGGACACTTGATCCACTCTAAAAAGATTCAGAAATATGCAAATATAAAAAAAAAATTGTATTAAAAATAAAGAGAGCAACAGTATTTTAAATTTACGATAGCTTTGGTAGATTTCTCATTTCCCTAGCAATGGCAAATCTTATAAATAAATAAATAAAACAATTTGTCAAATATATTCTCCTTCATTTTTCCAGCCAGCAACAACATCAGAAATAAATATCTTTAAAAAAAAAACCAACAACAACGCACAACATACAAAATGGTATTTTAAAAAAAATGTTCAAAAATGTGCTGCAATTATAGCCTGAAAAAACAAGCAATAAAATGGGGGGCAATTCATTCGTCTGTTTTTTGGGTGGTAGTTCCAGGATGCAGGTCTTCACCAAACATCCATACATGCTGCAACAGATGCGCCAGGAGGCAAGAGACTTGCCATGACAGCGCAGAGAGAGTACAAACCAACCGATAATACATAAAAGTTACCCATTTGAAAAAAAAAACAAAGAGCACGTGACAGGAAATGTTGAGTATTTGTATGGTAACCCTGCTGATGGCAACACATCCTTCTGATGATTTCATAGGATGACAATAGAGATGATGATTTCATAGGATGACAATAGAGATGATGATGATTTCATAGGATGACAATAGAGATGATGATGATTTCATAGGATGACAATAGAGATGATGATGATTTCATAGGATGACAATAGAGATGATGATGATTTCATAGGATGACAATAGAGATGATGATGATTTCATAGCATGACAATAGAGATGATGATGATTTTATAGGATGACAATAGAGATGATGATGATTTCATAGGATGACAACAGAGATGATGATGACGATGAAGATGAGAATAGCAAGGATAATGATGATGAATCTTATTGCTTGATGCTGGGTGTGTACCCGTTCGTAGCACAATTTGTTGAATGATCATTGACCAAATTACATGACACGTACACAATTTTGCCGTGTACATAACCAATGCCCAGCACATGTTATAAACATGAATCAAATGTGCAGTCATCTCTGTCGTAACTGTTCGGTCCTTACTTGACACAAGCTCAACCATAACTCCATAAAGCACAGTAGGCGATCTGTATGGCACATGCGTCCAGCACGCACTGCCGATCGGAGTACGTGTACGTCCAACCCGATACCTGGCCGTCATATCGTTAGTTTTTTAGGACGTCTCCGCACACCTTTTCTCTTTTCTTTGATCGTCTCGTACTCCTGTCTGGTGCGTAAGATGAAGTTTAACTCCACCGAGTTGTTCAAAGCATAGAACACATTGGCTCGGTCTGGTATGAGCAGCTCTGCGGGAGACAGAAGGGAAAAATGTCAACTGGGGAAAAGTGGGAAACAAATATTTCCGGCCTAGGGAAGGTTTATAAAAAGTATATGGTTGGGGGTGGGGGGGGACTGCGTTCAAACTGTGTGAAGTACATAAATAGCGGAACAACATGTGTTAAGACGTGGGGGGGGGGGGGGGAAGTTTGGGCGAGACCCTTTCTTGAGAGGAAAATGCAAAAAAAAAAAAAAAAAAAAAATTAAAATAAAAAAAGGGCTAGACGCCTTCTTCAGCAGACAATGCAAAATAAGAAATAACAAATAAATTGAAATTAAAAAACTAAAGAGTGCCCATGTCACAATGCAGCTCTCTCAGACTCATGACGACGGAAGTAAAGCTGTACATAGTTTCTCATTACGACCTAGAAAAAAACGTGTCAGTACCGTACCACTTATGTTTAATGACCCATAATAAGAACATACGGAATCATCAGATGCTACCCAAGTTTTAACGCACAAGCTGTGCTCATTATCATTCTGTAAGCAATTTAGAGCTTTTTAGGTGCCTTTGAAAAAGGTGATTTTTCACATGCCAATACTATAGCTGGGCCCCATAAAGTATGTGTGTATTGAAATTAGACTGAGTGGGGAACCCTCCTGGCTATTTTGTTAATGCTATTTTATACTCTGAGACCATGACCTTGACCTTGGAGTGGCCAAGAATAAAGAAAATAAAAAAAAGTTTTCTTTTTCAGGTTTAAAAACCTCAAACTACAATTTTTTAAAGGCATATTATTATAATGTTTATATAATGTTTATATAATGTTTATATAATGTTTATATAATGTTTATATAATATGATAGCATTTTTATTTTTATTTCAGAAAATGTATAACTTGTATATGTTTTAGTTATAAATAGTTTTTTAAAATAATTCTTCTGATACTTATATTTATGTTCAAGTAACAAAGCACAACATGAAACAATATAAACATTACTAAATAGCAATAAACAGATACAATTTTAAAAGATGCTACAAAAATATTTAATCAATAAAATGAAATTTAAGAAAACATATATAGAACAACATCCAATTATTTTTCGTTGGTAAAAAATCATCTGCAACATAGTTTTGTCCGAGTCCTGTTGTTGGGGCAACGCCTACTCGTTCTAGGCCTAGGTCTAAATCGTCCCAACTTTTGCTTTCTGACCCACTAGAAAAATAATCGGAATTATCATTGTCTTCCTGTGTGATTGGAAAATCATCTTCAGAATCACTTAAGTCATTAACTAAAAGTTATCAAACAGATTCCTGATTTATTTTGTAAGCCAGATGGTCCAGCTATGGCCTCATCCATTTTGTGAAAAACTACTTACACAAATTCGCTTGATAAAGATCGTTGCAAAAATAACTCCAAAGTTTAAAAATGGACACAAGAGCGAAAAACGGAAGTTATTAATAAATAAAAGGAATTAGCTTTATTTAGTGTAAAATATTGGACAGGAAATTATTCTTTCAACGCAATTTTTATCAGCCAATTTTATGGCCCAACACATTAAAGGAAGAGAAAATCGGCCTACCAAAGTTCGTGGCTTAAAATGTGCTGGATAATTGTAGTAACAGAAGGTCGGCCAGAGTTGACCATTTAATTTATTGGCATCAAAACAAGAACAGGGGTCACATGACCTTTTCTGTGGGGTAAGGGAAACAAGAACAGGGGTCACATGACCTGCTCTGGGGGGTAGGTGAAAACAAAAATTGAGAAAATACCATTCTCTAAAAATATAACTTTTCCCACATGATAATTGGCAAGGCCCAGAAAATAGGGCAAAAAACTGACAAAGGCTGCCAACCCCTGCTCTAACATGACATAATGACTTTTAGTCGTTCACTGACCTCCATCAGGAAGAATTTGTAGAAGACAATAGTTCTCCACTTGTCCCTCTATTCCATACTTGTCCAGTATCTTTCCTATCACTGTGTGGGTGTGGTCACTGTTCATCAACTGCAAGGACATAAAGGAGAAATTAGCACAGCTTTTGTGTGGACTCACAGCCAGGGCTGTCAAAACTTGGAAAAACACCTGCCCGGGTACCAACGGATCCACCTGCCCGGGTACCAGCCAATCCACCTAGCCAGGGAACCTGACAAAGCAGATGTGTTAACATGGGGTCAATAAGTTCACCTGTCATCACCATGGTCACCCACTGCTGACTTGTTTTTTTTATCTACCAGTTTTAGGATATTGATTTTTATTGTTCATTTCTAATATATCTTCTACAATGACCTTGAGCTTGGAAAGACAGCCTAGTCCTCGCTCAATGTTACAATGACCTTGAGCTTGGAAAAACAGCCCTAGTCCTAGCTCAATGTTACAATGACCTTGAGCTTGGAAAAACAGCCCTAGTCCTCGCTCAATGTTACAATGACTATGAGCTTGGAAAGACAGCCCTAGTCCTCGCTCAATGTTACAATGACCTTGAGCTTGGAAAAACAGCCCTAGTCCTAGCTCAATGTTACAATGACCTTGAGCTTGGAAAAACAGCCCTAGTCCTCGCTCAATGTTACAATGACTATGAGCTTGGAAAGACAGCCCTAGTCCTCGCTCAATGTTACAATGACCTTGAGCTTGGAAAAACAGCCCTAGTCCTAGCTCAATGTTACAATGACCTTGAGCTTGGAAAAACAGCCCTAGTCCTCGCTCAATGTTACAATGACTATGAGCTTGGAAAGACAGCCCTAGTCCTCGCTCAATGTTACAATGACCTTGAGCTTGGAAAAACAGCCCTAGTCCTAGCTCAATGTTACAATGACTATGAGCTTAGAAAGACAGCCCTAGTCGTAGCTCAATGTTACAATGACCTTGAGCTTGGAAAGACAGCCCTAGTCCTAGCTCAATGTTACAATGACTATGAGCTTAGAAAGACAGCCCTAGTCGTAGCTCAATGTTACAATGACCTTGAGCTTGGAAAGACAGCCCTAGTCCTAGCTCAATGTTACAATGACTATGAGCTTAGAAAGACAGCCCTAGTCGTAGCTCAATGTTACAATGACTATGAGCTTAGAAAGACAGCCCTAGTCCTAGCTCAATGTTACAATGACTATGAGCTTGGAAAGACAGCCCTAGTCGTAGCTCAATGTTACAATGACCTTGAGCTTGGAAAGACAGCCCTAGTCCTAGCTCAATGTTACAATGACTATGAGCTGGGAAAGACAGCCCTAGTCGTAGCTCAATGTTACAATGACTATGAGCTTGTGTCTATAGCTTACCATTATACTCTTGTAGACATGCGCTGTGTCATTCTTGCTTGTGTCTATAGACACTCTGATGACATAAGAGTCCGAGGACTTGAAGGGGGTGTGTGAGGAGGGGCTGTCGCTGTCGGATGATATCACAGATGACGTTGAAGATGAATGGGAGAGCTGGAAACAAACAAAATGTTGATGTTAACTTTTAGCTGGCTCCGGGTTCAGCACTGCTGGCTCCGGGTTCAGCTCTACTGGCTCCGGGTTCAGCACCGCTGGCTCCGGGCAAATCAGGAAATAAAGTCGAAGGAAGGGTCTCTTTCATATGGCCAGGGGTCTCTTTGTTATGGCCTGTATGATATGGCCACGGCTCTGTTTGATATGGCCAAGGATCTCTTTGTTATGGCCTGTTTGATATGGCCACGGCTCTGTTTGATATGGCCAAGGGTCTCTTTGTTATGGCCTGTTTGATATGGCCACGGCTCTGTTTGATATGGCCAAGGGTCTCTTTGATATTGCCAAGGGTCTCTTTGATATGGCCAAGGGTCTGTTTGATATGGCCACTGGCCTGTTTGATATGGCCAAGGGTCTATTTCATATGGCCAAGCGTCTATTTCATATGGCCAAGGGTCTGTTGGATATGACCATTGGAAACATTGTTTCCTGGAGCATTAATGACATATGTAAGGCCTGGGACATGGATACATATTTGTGATATCCATACAGCAATGAGTTGTGGGACACAGTAGAGTACAGTGGCTCTCAAAGTGCGTCATACACAGCATATTTCACACAATTTTAATAACTGGATTTTATGTAGTTAAATAAAAGCAGTTTTTTAAATTTTAACTACAGAAAAGGGGTTAAAGTACAAAAATTAAGTGGGTCATGAATAAAAACGGTTGAGAACCTCAGGTCTAGAATAAAGTTTGCACATTAATCTAAGGTTCTCTCTTTAAACTAGTAATCTGCAACCTTGTCTCCATGGCAACCATGCAGCTCTTTTTGTTTTATTATTCTGAAACATTAATTTTTTTAACGAATCTATTGAAGAAATTAAAACACTATTTTCAGGGCAGACCGTATTTATAAAACGGCTCTTCACTCAAAAAAAGGTTCCAGAACATCTGGGCCAGAGGTCCCCAGACTTTTTTGTCCAGTAGACCACTTGCCATGTTTTTTCAGTTTTGAGTAGGCCCCTCCCCCCCCCCTCCCCCCTGCTTACCTGATGTTGATTTTTTGCAAATTCATTAACTTCAACATATTTTTGACAGCGGGTATAGTGCTACACACTTTGAAAGATTTAAATTTATAACGGTAGTGAAGTGTCTAACGGTAGTGAAGTGTCTAACGGTAGTGAAGTGTCTAACGGTAGTGAAGTGTCTAACGGTAGTGAAGTGTCTAAGGGTTGTGAAGTGTCTAACGGTTGTGAAGTGTCTAACGGTAGTGAAGTGTCTAACGGTAGTGAAGTGTCTAAGGGTTGTGAAGTGTCTAACGGTTGTGAAGTGTCGTGTGAACAACTTTTTAAAACACATGTTAAGTTTGATACATTTATGTAAAAATTGTTAAAACATAAATGCTTATTACCCTTTGGTAATATGAGTTCTGCCAACAAGCTTAGCCAAAGAACTACCTCTACTAACGGCATCACTGGCAACAGCATCACTGGCAACGCTACCACTGCGTTCAGCGCTGCTTCTCACTCGCTCTCCCCCAGCACAACTGTTCACCTTTACTTTGCTGGCCATTGGGCACACCCCTTGGATTATTGTATCCCAAGCACATCGTCCTATCCGCACTCGGGTCAACCAACTTCTCCGTTCTAATTCATAACAAAGGAATACCCCCCAAACCACAAGACTCTCGGGGACGCAACACCCACCTGCGAGACCTGAGTGACCAAGGGTCCGATTGAAGCAGCTATGGTGTCGGGTATGCTTGCGATGCTGTTCCTGTCCTCGAGGCCGCAGGAGAAGAGGCCGAGCTTGTTGTCCAGCCGCGCAGGCTTGGTGCCCAGGCTGTGGAGATGAACATCGATAATAACATGACAACGGGTCGGTCAGCTCTCTGACACTTCGGAGGCTCACAGAGACAAATGGTGTTTTAAAAGGAAATAGTATTCTTTACATATCCGATCCATATTCCACATGATAATATGTGAAACACTTGCTGGGGTGTCCAAAAAGAACAAGTAATATCTAATGTGACTAAAGACCCAATCAAAGTACATGTAACATAACATTTGGGGTCCCAAATCTACATAGTTTCAAAAATGAAATGGGTCCCCCCACAAATGTAAATAATGTGAGCTATTATATAATTTTACATAAGACATTGTATTAAATTAAGTAGTGGGAAAATATTGTGACTGATGTAAAGTGCACTAGGTTAGCTCCACTATGTATATGGTTATATGTATATGGTTATATTAGATCAAGCCAACAACACATATAGGATGGCATCACAGACTCGGTCTGACATTATACACCATTCATGTATTCTGTTTGCACATTCTAACCTTGAAGTGTAGACGACTCAATTAGCTTAACTAAAGTAATGTAATCGGCCACGTGTTAGACTTGATCGCTCTTGCGCACTACCGCATTTACGACTGCTGATTGGTCTTTCTCTTTTCTATGACATGAGACTTAACGGGAGCCCCCTGGGCTTGAACCCGGGAGGGTGACCCTCCAGGTTAATCTGAAAAACCTTTCAGATATTTGTATTGTACACAACAAGAACTGCCTCAATTATTTCACACATTTCTACCAACTATACAAAAAAAATATACAGATAGACCCTAAAACTAAATCTTAACAATCAGTGATTGTCTGAAGGTCCTCAAAACTTGGGATATAGGTGCAAAGTATGTACAATTATATAGCTAGCAGTGCCGGGAAACAATATAAAATGGAGGGACAAAATGTAAATACAGAGCATAACATAAAATAGAGGGACTACATAAAATGGAGGTAACATGAGTCAGGGGGGGGGGGGGTAGGGGGGACATGAGGAAACTAATGTAAAATAAAAAATCAATCATATGTTGAAAGAAACAAGCTCAAGCTAAAATTTGTAAATAACACACCATCCCTTACTCTCTCAGATGTGCAGATTGAGTTTGCTCAAACAGTGCGAAACCTAGGTGTCTGCTTAGACAGAACACCAGCTATGGAAAATCACATTAACTTGATTTGCAAGGCGATTTTTCTAGAGCTACGCAGAATTAGTCACATTAGACCTTTCTTAACATTAGACACATTGAAGAGGCTGATGTCTGCATTCGTGCTATCACGCATGGACTACTGCAATGCTCTAAGGGTGCGGCTCGCATTATCTTTGCTAACGCAAATTTGACCATGCTAAAACACTTCTGAGAGAGTTGCAATGGCTGCCGGTGCGCGCTCGCATAAAGTACAAAAATGCAACTCTGTGCTACCGCTGCTTGCATGACCTGGCACCGTCCTATCTCAAAGCGCTCATGACGACTTATGTACCCACTAGACAACTCCGTTCATCCGATAGTGGTAAACTCTCGATACCACGTGTTCGCCTTGAGACTTACGGAAGGCGCACTTTCGCATTTGCTGGCCCAACAATTTGGAGCACCCTTCCTGTCGCTCTCAGAAACAGCCAGACTGGAGTCCTTCAAAACCGATTTGAAAACACATCTATTTCGCAAACACCTGCTGGGGTGATGTTGTCTACCATCTTTTCCAGCTAGCTATTATCTCCTAGATGTATATTGGCCTGTGTTGTTTATGGTTGCAAGGGATGAAAGACTTAGAATGGGTAATATGGTTGACTTTGTACCGTGCTTCGAGCCTTTGGGGATGAAGCATGATTGTCAAATAAAATTTATTAGTATTATTATTACTAGTGTTGAAAACTAAACTAACAGCTGTCCGCGTCTGTATCACATCAGTAACAATGTTTGTATCCCCTTTATTTTAAAAAGATACAACAGAAACATTTGCCCTTTTTTTTGTAATCTCCACAGCTCCTTTTACATTTTGCAATGACACTTTATTATGAAATCCCTCTAGTACAATACACCTCTGCCCTTTATTATGAAATCCCTCTAGTACAATACACCTCTGCCCTTTATTATGAAATCCCTCTAGTACAATACACCTCTGCCCTTTATTATGAAATCCCTCTAGTACAATACACCTCTGCCCTTTATTATGAAATCCCTCTAGTACAATACACCTCTGCCCTTTATTATGAAATCCCTCTAGTACAATACACCTCTGCCCTTTATTATGAAATCCCTCTAGTACAATACACCTCTGCCCTTTATTATGAAATCCCTCTAGTACAATACACCTCTGCCCTTTATTATGAAATCCCTCTGGTACAATACACCTCTGCCCTTTATTATGAAATCCCTCTGGTACAATACACCTCTGCCCTTTATTATGAAATCCCTCTGGTACAATACACCTCTGCCCTTTATTACATCCAAGTGACCTAAATAATAATACATGCATGCCTTTTATTTAGAAATATGTAAGCCTTTATTATATATACAAACGTATAATTATAATCTCTGCCATGCCCTTTCGTACAATAACCCTTTGGGCTTTCTTATTGCATTCGTAACGTCACTCACTCCAAGCAAAGAGACCAACTCCTCCTTCTCCCCCTCTCTCTCCCCCGGAACATGAATGTTAGTGACATAAGTCACATCACTCTGCCAGACATCACAAACTTTGTTGTCCTGGTGGAAGTTTAGTTGTTTATTTTATATAGCCATGAACTGGAGTAGCCACGAACAGGAGTAGACACAAACAAGAGTAGCCATGAACTGGAGTAGCCACGAATTAGAGTAGCCACAAACTGGAGTAGCCACAATTCAAACATTGTTAAGATTAGAGAAGTACATAAGCTTTGTTAAGTTTTTGGGGCCGTTAGCCATACAGAGCCATAGGGAGTTAGCCTTACAGAGCCATGGGGCAGTTAACCAAAAGGAGCCATGACGCAGTTAGCTTTACAGAGAATTGGGGAAGTTAACCATAAAGAGCCATGGGGCAGTTAGTCTTACAGAGCCAAGGGGCATTTAAACATAAAGAGCCATGGGGCAGTAAAACATAAAGAGCCAAGGGGCGGTTAACCATACAGAGCCATGGGGCAGTTAGCCTTACAGAGCCATGGGGCAGTTAACTATACAGAGCCATGGGGCAGTTAGCCATACAGAGTCATAGGGCAGTTAGAATTACAGAGCCATGGGGCAGTTAACAATAAGGAGCCATGAGGCAATTAGCTTTACAGAGCATTGGGGAAGTTAACCATAAAGAGCCATGGGGCAGTTAGCCTTACAGAGCCATGGGGCAGTTAACAATAAGGAGCCATGAGGCAGTTAAACATAAGGAGCCATGAGGCAGTTAGCCTTACAGAGCCATGGGGCAGTTAGCCTTAAGAGCCATGGGGAAGTTAACCATAAAGAGCCTTAGAGCAGTTAGCCTTACAAAGCCATGGGGCAGTTCGTCATTCAAAGCCGTGGGGCAGTTTGCCGTACAAAGCCATGGGGCAGTTAGTCATTCAAAGCCATGCGGCAGTTAGACATTCAAAGCCATGGGGCAGTTAGCCGTACAAAGCCGCGGGGCAGTTAGCCTTACAAAGCCGTGGGGCAGTTAGCCTTACAAAGCCGTGGGGCAGTCAGCCATACAAAGCCGTGGGGCAGTTAGCCTTACAAAGCTGTGGGTCAGTTAGTCGTACAAAGCCATCAATTTTAAAACAAGAGTTCAACTCATGAAATTTGTTTGCAGCAGCCAGGTCTATAATTGTTTATAAGCTGGCTAAAGAACATCAATGTCCTTTATTGTGTGCCCGTTATGGCTGGTTACATATAACTCACTGCCCGTTATGGCTGGCTACATACAACTCACTGCCTGTTATGGCTGGCTACATATAACTCACTGCCTGTTATGGCTGGCTACATATCACTCACTGCCCGTTATGGCTGGCTAGATATAACTCACTGCCTGTCATGGCTGGCTACAAATAACTCACTGCCCGTTATGGCTGGCTACATATAACTCACTGCCTGTCATGGCTGGCTACATATAACTCACTGCCTGTTATGGCTGGCTACATATAACTCACTGCCCATTATGGCTGGCTACAAATAACTCACTGCCTGTTATGGCTGGCTACATATAACTCACTGCCTGTTATGGCTGGCTACATATAACTCACTGCCTGTTATGGCTGGCTACATATAACTCATTGCCTGCTATGGCTGGCTACATATAACTCACTGCCTGTTATGGCTGGCTACAAAAAACTCACTGCCTGTTATGGCTGCTACATATAACTCACTGCCCATTATGGCTAGCTAAATATAACTTACTGCCTGCTATGGCTGGCTACATATAACTCACTGCCTGTTATGGCTAGCTGCATATAACTCACTGCCTATTGTGGCTAGCTACAACTCACAGCTAAACTGACCGTGCAAATTGAGAGGAAATTTTAAATAAATGAGAATAAGAAAAAAATCAACTTAAAGATGAGAAAGCCATTGGGTTAAGCATCAACTTAAAGATGAGAAAGCCATTGGGTTAAGCCATGAATGCTAAAGCACTACAACACAACTCATAGTGGTGCAACAAATAAAGTCATTCAAGCAAAATAAAACAAAATTCATAAAAGCATTACACGTAAACTCATTGCAGCACTACAAATAAACTCACAGAAGCGTTAAACATAAGCTGATTAAGCAGTACGAAAAAAAAAGCTAGCTGATTCTGAAAGCTACCACTACCAGACTGTCTGAAAGCTACCACTACCAGACTGTGCTACGCAAGGGCCAGTGGTCCTCATAATGTCAAACAAAAGGAGATTTTGCCGCGTTATTTATTTACATAAATCATCACACGTTTTTCTTTCACATAACATTTTGCCATCGGCTTTCATCGTAATGATTTATAACCAAACGATTTACAGAAACCAACTCAAGCTCATTACATTACTTTAAACATTTTCTTAAACATAAGTGACAACGCCTAGTTGGAAAATGAGATATTTTTTTTAAAAATGTCATGTATTTTTTTTTTTTTTTCATATTCCAAAAAATATTTGTGTGATTTATTGGTGACTTCAGTTTCGTCAGGACTTACTGACTTCAACCTCGTCGGAACTGACCAACTTTATGTTTCAGATTATGAAGATCCGTAACCGGCCCCTCTAGACGTGAAGTGACCTTGACACTTACCACCCCTTGCGCTGGAAGGGCACGTTGTCCTCCTCGGCACGAGAGGAGGAAATATTGGGCTCTGAAAACCTAGATCTACATGCAAAGCAGGCATAGAGCTTAGCTGCCGACACCCTCCTCTTGAGATGTGGTCCACTGATGCTGAATAGACATGCACACCAGAGGTGATCAGTCAGGGTTATCAGAAATCTCACTTGTACACACAGACATACGTGGACACAATGACAGATTCATACAAAAATGTACACACAACAGAGGAAAGATTTGGTTTGTCAGCTGCTCACATGTGCACAGTAGTTGAGGAATCGCAAGTTGAAACACACTCATGCCAAAAATGGACTAGAAACTTTGCTCCCGATTTTAAGCATAACATCAGTATTAAGTTTGGATAATGACATTATTATCTTCCCCAACTGATGGATTTGTCCAACTATTTAAAAAAAAAAAAATGATTTGTTTACTTAAAACCTTAAGACAATGTTATCTCTGAAAATAATCTTCTATAATTATAACTTATTCACTCCATGCACCATGTGGTGGTATGTTATTCAATATTCATTATCCAATGTGGTGGTATATTTCCCTAAATCCCTTGTGGTAGTATTTAATCCCTAAATCCCATGTGGTGGTATATTTCCCTAAATCCCTTGTGGTGGTATTTAATCCCTAAATCCCATGTTGTGCTACTTTCCCTAAATCCCATGTTGTGGTATTTAATCCCTGAATCTCATGTGGTGGTATATTTACCTAAATTCCATGTGGTGGTATTTAATCCCCAAATCCCATGTGGTGGTATTTAATCCCTAAATCCCTTGTGGTGGTATTTAATCCCTAAATCTCAGGTGGTGGTACGTTTCCCTAAATCCCATGTTATGCTTTTAAACCCTAAATCCCATGTTATGCTTTTAATCCCTATATCCCATGTGGTGGTATTTAATCCCTAAATCCCATGTGATGGTATTTAATCCCTAAATCCCATGTGATGGTATTTAATCCTTAAATCCCATGTGGTGACAATCCATAAACCCAGACAAGACATCCGTTACATTCCAGCATAAAATTATCCTCATTGTTTTAGCCGTTCAGTAGCAGCATCTACCGGTTACCAATGTTTTCAGCTATGGCAGTCTGTTAGGATAATAAACTAATGCACTTGGTTGCCTGTGAGACTACTGTGTCAAGTAAAATGGTACACAGTTAATGGGATCAGTTAATAGTACAATATTTAAAAAACGTTTCTCCTCCTGAGACAAAATATTATTTGATTTCTTTTAACATGAAATCAAAACATTATTATGAAAATAATAACATGAAATTTTCTTATCTCAGAAGACAAAAGATAAAAGAAGAAGAAAAAAAATGTCCCTGTTCATTCTTTATAACTCAACTTTCTAATGGACTTGGCCAGCATTGTTGCAGTAGTGTACAGTAGATATACTGAAACTCTCTGACTAAACTCTCATCATTACAATCACATGATAAGCATTGTGAGGTGGGTGGGCTGGGGGGCGGGTTGTTTACTTCTTCTGACCGTATAAAAATACTTGCAGATACGCCTGGCTCTGCGCGGGATTACATTAGCTCAAATCTAACACAACATTCCGGTCCATCTGCAATGGTTTGATGTTGAACACTTTCAACAGTACGTACCAGTTACATGTAAACAACTGCAAAACATACCAGTGTGTCTCATGTTTAGTGTGCAAATTTTATGTAATAAGTAAGCCCTGTTGGATTCACATACTACTTTAAACATTTTAAGTGTCATCCATGGTTTGGATAACCTGAGATTTTTTTAGTGATTTAAGGACATCAAAACAGGAACTCAACAAAATAGTAAAGGCAAAATATGACGGACATGGAACGGTGTTGACAATTTGTGGCAACACAGACTTTTGGGGGAAACAGAAATTTGGTTGAATATTTAACACGGATGTCAGGGATAATAAAAAGAAAGTCTGGTGAAAGATGTCAGGGATAATAAAAAAGAAGGTCTGGTACAAAAAAATTAGCAGATTCAGTCAGCATAGAAGAGCCAACCAGCACAGCCAAAATGCAAGAAAACACAACTGATAAGAAATCTGGCACACAGAAATAGCCAACAAAGTGGTGCAACTTGATCAGGAGGCGGTGCCACAAGATTTGCAATAACCAGACTGACAATGATGGAAAACATAGAAGACAGTTTTGTAATGGAATAAAATTACAAATTAAGTTGAGTGGCCATGGACTCATGTTTTCCCCGACTTGTTCAAAAAAAAAAATATTTAAAAAATATCAAAATGGCAAGAAACACACCTATAAAAGAACAGATTTGAATGTAACCAATGGGTAGATTAAGAAATGCTGACAACACTATTAACCCTTTGTTTCAGATGATTTTTAACAATATTAACCCTTTGTGTCAGATGATTTTTAACAATATTAACCCTTTGTGTCAGATGATTTTTAAGAATATTAACCCTTTGTGTCAGATGATTTTTAAGAATATTAACCCTTTGTGTCAGATGATTTTTAAGAATATTAACCCTTTGTGTCAGATGATTTTTTTAAGAAGGGAACCAGCATTTATTTTGTGTGGGCAAAAGGGAAGTAACTGGGAAGAAGTTTTAAAAATATTAAAAAATGAAAAGAGTTGTGGGTGCTGTTTTCAAATGTCTCACCTTGCAGATTTCTTCTTTAGCTTTGCTGAACTTTCTGATGGGGGCTCTAAGGAACAGGAGAGGTCATGGCTGAAAGTCAACAAACAGAAAATCGGGGTTAGTGACCTCAAGTACACATATAGGAGAGTTAGTGACCTCACGTAGACACATAGACAGGTGAGCTAGTGACCTCACGTAGACACGTAGCCAGGAGAGTTAGTGACCTCAAGTAATGAAAGAAACAAAAAGGGAAGAAAAATATTAAGGGATCATATTTAAAGTGCAATAAAATTTTTATTTTATCAATTTGTTGAGAACCACCAAGTTTCAATTAAGTGTTATAATTGAGGGCCCCCACATCTCTAGATCTGAGTAAATCCTGATAGAGTTAAGTGATTCAAGAAGAGCCCCCTACTCTCTAGGCCCGAGTACATCATGATAGAATCAGTAGTTAAAATACGGATCCAACCTTTCCAGATACAAGTAAATCATGATAGAGTTGAACCACTTCAAATTATAAAGAAGCCCCTCTACCCCCACCTCTCTAGATGTGAGTAGATCATGAAGGAATTGAGTCATAAAAATGGCCCCCACCTGCCTAGATCTGAGTACATCATGAAGGAGTTAAGTCATAAAAAAGGGCCCCCACCTCTCTAGATCTGAGTACATCATGAAGGAGTCAAATTATAAAGAAGGGCCCCCACCTCTCTAGGTCTGAGTACATCAGGAAGGAGTTAAATTATATAGAAGGGCCCCCACCGCTCTAGGTCTGAGTACATCATGAAAGAGTTAAGTCATAAAGAAGGGCCCCCCACCTCTCTAGGTCCGAGTAGATCCTGATAGAGTTGAACCACCTCCAGAAGGAAGAGTCCTCTATGAAGCTGTAGATGGAAGCGGCCGACTGCAGCAGCCTCAGCTGTGCCAGCACCTCAAACTCTTTCCTCCTCTTCTCAAAGTTGATCAGGCCGTCCTCGGTGCAGTCAGGGAAGGCCGTGTCGATCATGGTCAGGTCGGTCAGGAATGTACCCAGGTACGGAACGGTGCCTTGGACTATGCCCTGGTGAGAAATTGGACAAACGGCATGCAAGGGCAGATGTTTTCCGAAATTTAAGAATGTTCAGCTGGTTTTAAGTTCACTTCAAATTTTGATGTCTCATAAACGACCAACTAGTTCAGTCTCAAGACAACTTTCATTGTCCATCCATGAGCTCTTAAGAGAACTTACATTGTCTATCCATGAGCGCCGTTTCTGTAAATTCTTTCTCTTTAAACTCTTGCTTTGTGAATCCAAATCAGGGAATTTCGCCGTAGCCTCCTGTCAGACAAAAGAGTTTAGTACACAATGCGCACGAGAACTTCTTATCAAAACAACATCTGTCAGACAAAACAGTTTCACACACAATCAGCATTAGAATTTCATATCAAATCAATATGCATGCTGTTTGTTCTGGTAGGAAGTTGTACATTTTTAAGGGATATGATTTTTTGCCTCGTACTACGTTAAGCTCAAAGATGCCTTAGAGCAGCCGTATTCCCCATTGGCAAGCTGTAAAGACATCGGATATTGCTCAGATTAGATGCCCAGAACTTAAGAATTAATGCCCAAGTTGACCCACCTGTTTTAAATGCTCTCAAGTGATCCAAGACCTTAGCTTGTCACAGCTCTCAAGTGATCCAATTATTTGGATCAATAAAAGAATCTTATCTTATTTTATCTTACCTTCATGAGAAGTTCCCTTGAGTTCAGCTGGTTGTTATCTACAGAGAAAATCTCACTGAGTTCTTCAAACAGCGTCATGGTGTCTCTGTGTTGATAGTCAAAACTCTCAATTTATTCATTCATAATGAAATGTATATAGGAAATATTGGCTTTAGTCAATTCTAAATGGTGACAAGATATACAAGTTTAAAATTTTAAAAAATTTAAAGAATACAAATATGTATTATTTATAAATTTGACACAGATAAATATTTTAATTAATTCTTTAATTTAATTACATATTTCAGTATGCAAAAAAAAAAAAATTAAAATAAAAAAAAATTAAAATAAAGTAAGAACAAAAATAACAATTACAAAGAAAAGTTAATTTGTAATTTTAAAAATATTTATCTATTATAATGAAGAAAAAAAAAGCTTATAAGATTATTTGAGACTTTGATGGTGATAGCATGGGATTACTTTGATAATGCTGCCCACGTCTTTCTGAGGCGGTAGACAGGATGTGCCTGTAAACCTGTGATGATGGCCTTCAGAGAGGAAAAGTTCTTGAGTTCTCGAAGATCCTAGACATCAAGGTAAGACAAGGAAAACCAATGAGACTGATGATTATATTGGTTTAACATTGCCAAGTTAAACTAGATGAGAAAATGGACAAACAGGGGGGGTCTACTATAGTGAATGACATTTATATTTCTGATACAATTCTCTTTCTATTAGATATCCCCATTACATTTGATTGCTATCCAAACTTATAAGCTAATTTGTAAGAAATCAGTCAGATGAAAAAAAAAGAAACAAATACTGACCAGTGCGATAAGAACTTAATACTGACCTGTGCTGTAAGATACCAAGACTGACCAGTGCTATGAGATGCCAACACTGACCTGTGCTATGAGATTCCAACACTGACCTGTGCTATGAGATGCCAACACTGGCCTGTGCTTTGAGAATCCAACACTGACCTGTGCTATGAGATGCCAACACTGACCTGTGCTATGAGATGCCAACACTGACCTGTGCTATGAGATTCCAACACTGACCTGTGCTATGAGATGCCAACACTGACCTGTGCTATGAGATGCCAACACTGACGTGTGCTATGAGATGCCAACACTGACCTGTGCTTTGAGATGCCAACACTGACCTGTGCTATGAGATGCCAACACTGACCTGTGCTATGAGATGCCAACACTGACCTGTGCTATGAGATGCCAACACTGACCTGTGCTATGAGAATCCACTTCTGAAGCACCTTCGCCCTCTGTGACGTCTTAAGCTCCCTAGTCTTCAGCACTGTTGCTATGACCCGCAGAGAAACACTGTTGAACTGTTGGATGGTGGCCTGGATGCTTGGGGCATCGCTTTGACCTTCTTTGTCTCGACGAGACCACACGGCCCCGAGGCAGTGATGGGGAATAACTTTGAGGAACAAACCCTGTTCAATAAATATACTACACAGAATTTGGCAATATAACATTAACCGTGAACAAAAGATAACCTCATAATTTGACAAATTCTCCTCACACAGTTCACCACTAGTTACATGGAGAATACCAAATGAAAAGGATATCAAAAGAAAATATATAAAACTGCATGATTTGACTGGCTGCACACAAACTACTATTGTTACATATCTAAGACCAAAAACATCAACACCACTGCCATCTTACTGCATCTTAATAGACATAACGTAAACACCACTGCCATCTTACTGCATCTTAATATACATAACGTAAACACCACTGCCATTTTACTGCATCTTAATAGACATAACGTAAACACCACTGCCATCTTACTGCATCTTAATAGACATAACGTAAACACCACTGCCATTTTACTGCATCTTAATACACATAACGTAAACACCACTGCCATCTTACTGCATCTTAATAGACATAACGTAAACACCACTGCCATCTTACTGCATCTTAATAGACATAACGTAAACACCACTGCCATTTTACTGCATCTTAATAGACATAATGTAAACACCACTGCCATCTTACTGCATCTTTCAAGACATAACATAAACACCACTGCCATCTTACTGCATCTTTATAGGTAAGCTGTTCGGCAATTTTTCTACAGGATATTTCCAACAGCGCCAGAGACTTGCTGCTGTCCGTGTCCACGGGGTGACTGCTGCCATCAGAGAGTGAAAAGGAAAATTCTAGCTGCCGTGCTGGAAGGCAATTCAAACAAAAAAAAACAACAAAAAAAAGTTTACTTGTAAAGATAAGATAAGTTTTTTTATTGATCCAAATAAATGTTTTTTGATTGCATTATTCATTTTCAGCACAAAAATAAAACAATTTGAACACAAGAAATTTATAATAAATTATGTCAAACAGCCATTCAGTGAGTTCTCTTAGCAAATTCTGGGACTTCGGCCTTAGAACATCCATTAGAACTTGAGTGAAAATACAATTAAATAAAACGTGTAGAACTGTGAAAAGCTGAAAAAAAAAAAAAGAAAAAAAAGGTAGACTATCCAAACTTATAGCTGCTTGTAATGAATAGGCCCCCAGGCATTGGGTCCCCGGGGGAGCAAACATCATATATAACATCATATATTCCCTCTGGAGCAAGGATTAGAGTGAAGTGGATTTGAGCCATCATCATAACCAAGTAATTCCCTACCATAAAATAGTCAAAACCAGGGGCTCTCAAATGGTCAAATGAAGGACTGTGCTCAAGGTGTGTGAAGGAAATAGTAGAGCAAGGAATGTGGAAGCTTGAATCGAAAGACAGGATAATGACCCTGGCCTTGCTTTTTTTTTCTGAAAAATATTTTTTAGTATCCATGATGTTGCAGACAACAGCACGCTTTATTAACCCCACTATGGCCAAGAGTTGGGCAACTGAAAAGTAGATGTTTTAGTTAGAGCTCATTTTAATTGAAGATTGTGAAATTACCCGTAAGCTCTGCGTCTTCCTGCCGAAATCCCTCTAGCTTGTCCTTGACCTTTACCTCAATGCCACTGCCAGGTGCGCTGTCTCTGGCAAACCTCTCCAGCTCATTAAGGCAGGTGTAGTCTGGAGGGTCGTGAAAATCTTCGGGGTATGTGTCCAGCCACACAAATATCACAGACTTAAGGGATCTGGCAAAATGAATGTTGCATTTTACAAGCAAATGTATTTACCTACAAAAACTGAAGAATTTAAATTTTGAATATGACATAGAAAGTAAATTAAGTGGATATGACCAACAGTTTTTGGGATAAAGGGATTTTGACCAAACTTTCCATAAACAACTTATAGGTCTGGTGGTATGACCAGGTCAAAGTTGGTTGCAATCTATTGTTTGGTTTTCCTATTAGCAAATTAAAATACAAATAAACAACCGACAAAACAAACATGGTCACAATCAGCTTTATATAGTAGATAAAGTGATAAATACAAAATGCAGCTTTTGACTACTTACATTAAATCTAGTTTAAAACAGGAGTTTAAATATACCTGAGTTGCATTTCATTTATTTCTGTTTTATCTTCAATTGTCTGAGACCTCACAAATTTGTACCTGTCAGAAATAAAAAAAAATCTGTACAATTTATCAAGAAAAAAATCTGCTAGAAACTATCTTTCATTAACCTTCTCTCAAAATTGTTATTATTTCCATTTCTTTGTCAAATCTGAGACTTACCTATCCATTAATGTGTCCAGCACTTGTCGAGGCGTGGCGAATGTTCGGTAGGTAGCAAGAAAGATGTTTACATAGCTGGAATCCATCTCACCTTGACTGTTGGTAAGGCTCTCAACTAATTTAGCGAGTGTCCCTGACCTGATGTAGCGTACTTTCTGTGTCACCCACATGAGAGATGAGTAAGTGTCTTCTTTCTCGTGCTCATCATCAAGCTATACAATTAACAATAATTTTTTTTTAAATATCAGAACATTTTAGTTCAAAAAGGTACATTCATGTAAAATGTCAGAGATCCCATGAGTTCTTCACACTGATGTCCCATGAGTTTAATCTGATCTATGGTGATTACACAGTTGAAAAGAGGCTTAAAAATATCACTTGGCACAAACATCACAAGTAAAATGATACAACTCCCTGATCCTAAATTATTATTGTTCGTCCGTCAAATGCGAAGATGACCAAAGCATTATACGACTATACTATCTAAGTGATATAACTAATTTTGCACTAGTAAATCCCCCTCAATCTTTGCCTCGACAGAGGGCAGCAATACCATGGGCAATTCTCAGAAGCAATAAGATTTTTTAAATTAAAAAAATACAATCAGACAGCAGCAGGGGAATGTATTTTATTTGAAATAAAGCAAACTGTAAAGATATCCAAAAAAGTTACTGTACCCGAGCTTGTGACTTGTAGGTCAACCTCTTTAGGTAGGTGTCAAACACAGCCCCTTCTTCTCTCTCCTCTTTCCATTTTCTGGTAGTATCATCCTGAGACTGTACATTCTGATAAAAGAATACAGCAATCAAAAAGGTCTACACAAAGTAGGAATGAAAGGTTAATGAATGATTTCACATTGGTGACAAATACATTTATGACCTCATTGGTTCGAATACCTTGATGATTGGGGCTACTTTTCAAATTTACAACAAACACAAGTTGAACTGAAAATGAACTAGCTGTCAATAGTACTAGCTAATATTCTTACAATTTTAACATGGGGCCATCCATAAATGTTGTCACGTGTCTGGGGGACGGGGGTCACATTTTTGTGACAATGTGTGATGGTTTAAACTACTATCACTGAGAGAATCAGTACAGGTATGCAAAATGGCCTCAGATCAAGTTACAGGCCGCCACTGAGGAGGAGAAAATGGGTGTACTGACACTGACAGTCTAGAGAATTTATGTCAAAATGTGGAGACGGGAGTCATAGAATTATGACTACCACGTGAAATAGAATGGAACGAAAAAAATGGTTGACAGGGGATCTTAGTAAATGCTTTAGGGAAGTGGTAGATTAATCACGGCTCACGAGCTGCATGCGGCTCTTTAGCGACCTGAGTGCAGCTTGGCCTTTCAGCCACAAATTGGTTTTGACTCCGAAAAACATGGTTCTTGACAAGTTCTCCAAAAGAAATTTGGCTCTCAAAATTTTTTAAATCGTCCTGCTGCTGACTTTTGACTAATGAGTTTGCCAACCACTGCTCTAGGGCAGGCAGGGATTCTTATCCTTTTGGCAGCGCTGTAGGCCACTTCGTTTTAAATATAACCCCCTCCAAAACTGTAGAAATTATATTGTAATAAAATATGTAAATAATTAAATAATTTAGTTGTCGTAGTTTTATTTCTTTAATTAACTTTTTATAAATAAGGAAAAAATTACCAATACAAGTAATTTGCTAACAAAATTCATCAGAAAAACATTTATTGTTTCTAATCAAAATGCATAAAACGGATTATTTTTTTTTTAAAAAGCAGTAACAGCAAGCAATGCAGCAAATACAATTTTCTGGTCTTCCCCACCTCAGGGCTGGGGAGGTACTTTTATCCCTGTTTAAGAACCACTGTTCTAGTGAAATGTTTCTGACATATGTGCAGTACTTGGATATCCATAGGAAGTCAATTTCTTAAGGGTATGTAAAGGACAGTCGTGGACACAGACATATGGAATTGTTATTGGGGGTGAGGGGTGCATAGATTTGTGACATTATACTTGGTGGGGGGGGGGGGGCTTACTTTTTGTGACAAGGGGGGGGGGGGGGAAAAAAAACAATTTCTTAAGGGTATGTAAAGGACAGTCGTGGACACAGACATATGGAATTGTTATTGGGGGTGAGGGGTGCATAGATTTGTGACATTATACTTGGTGGGGGGGGGGGGCTTACTTTTTGTGACAATGGAGGGGGAGGGGTAAAAAATCGGTAAAATTTGTGTGACGTCATTTATGGATGGCCCCCATACTCCTATTGTTACACATTCACCTAATATCTTATATATTTCAGCACTCTTGTTTGATAATGTACAAAATATTTTGTTAGGCTTTTATGTTTGAAGAAGTATTCAATTTAAAAGAGAGAGTGACTGTTAGTCAATAAATGCACCCAATGACCTAGGATTATTGTGGAAATTGCACATGAGCAAATGTGAAATGAAAGAACTATGAGGAAAAAAAATATTGTGTGATATTAAAATATTTATTTTAAAAAATTATTGAATAAATGCATGTGTTAAGGTTTATGGTAGTTAAGAGCAGAACTGAATAATACAACATGTGTAATAGTATAATATAACAACAGGCAATACTATACCCAACAGGAACAAAATTTAATATTTTTATGAATAACTAATACAAATCAATTTTACCTACTAGAAAGTATTAAAAATCTCTTGGAATTTTTATTTTACATTTATATTTTCTCTTCATCCTATGTGATGACTGTGAAAGTGTTATGACAACTTTAGTGTTGAGTTTTGAAATGCAGTAGCATTATTAGACTCAATGGACAGCACTTACTAACTATGCTGAAAAGTATTATTACTACTGTCCCTAGGATAGACAATACTTTACATTACTATAAAGGAGGAGTGGAGGAGGAACCTGGATTCGAATTTAAGAACTTCAATTAAGAAGAAAATTACTTGATTGCGATTATAGTATTTTCTTAGTCATTTAATAGTGAATTATTAGTATAGGTAGAATGACTATAAATTAAATATTATTATATTTATATTATTGGTGACCAAGTCTTAGTCTACATCTAAGTCTAAGACAACCAATGAGTCCAATGCCAATGTGACCAATGTACCCAACCAATTAAGTCCAGTCTAGTTGACAGATGAAGAGTAAAAGAAACAAAAGATCCGAGTTTGAAAACGATATTGTTGAGAATTTTACTAGAGAGGAACCTAAACTTAGCAGTAGAAGTAGAAGCATCTCTTCTCTGATCACTCGGTCTCAGCAGACTGATTGACTGATCAGTGAAGTCGAATTGAAGTCAAAATCAATCATAATTCATATCAATCACAACTAGAACATAAACTAGTTTTGCATACCCGTTGTTCAGAACGATCAGTTTCCATTCCTTTACACATAAAGTATGTCAATAAATAATCTCCACATTCTATAATTCATTTATTTAAAGTAATATTTATTATTTGACATGTGAAAATCATTGAGTTTTCATTTCTTGGTTGTACTGGGCAGAGTAAATAAAAAATAAATAAATAAAAATAAGGAATAAGTTTCCGGTCTAGAGAAACAAAATAACAAATATTTATTAAAATTGTGAAATCGCTTATTGTCACTATTGAAAACGAAATTATAAAACAAAATTAAAGATGAAATTGTAATTTTAAAAACTGACGTGAAATCTTTAAATGACTTAAAATTAAATTTATTCCATTTACTTACAAGAGGCTTTACATACGATTTGCTTGTATGGAGCTACCATGTATCCTTTTATTTATGCATTGTCTGATGTTCCGCAAAAGACTGATAATTAGTAATTAGAGGAGGGGGGATTATTTAAAAGAAATGCGATTCTCAGTTACATATTTGCTTTTATTTTTAAGAGGGTGGTGATTTTTCTAAAATGCACTGCCAGAGAATTGAGTAAATTAAAGAAATGGCAGAAATATTACATTAAAAAATGGTTATTTTAACAGTTTTAGATTTTACAGTATATCCTAAAATGTAACAATATATATATATATATATATATATATATATATATATATATATATATATATATATATATATATATATATATATA